GACGGGGCGCATGCGTCCCGCCAAGGGTTCTCACTGCAATCACTAGCCATTGTCTTCCTCTCTGCCATCCAATCCATATCTGGGGTATGCCTCCTCCTAATTCACACATACAGACAAGCCCGGAACACCGTCAAGAGGGTTAACGAGAGCGCACCTCTCTTCCCGGATTCGCCTACGAGTCGGCCCTTGACACCCGATGTAATACCAAGTCCCGTCCCTTCCCCCAACCCACTCGCCATTCCGGGTAGCCTGGCCGCCGTGTCTGCGCCGTCAAGAGTCGTGTCGCAACCAGTAACACCGCCCCGAGGCCCGCCTACCCCCACCTCGATATCCTCCGTGAACCCTCTCCTCCGGACGACATCGGCTTCGACGGTCCAGACCGCGTCCAACTCTTCCTCTTCTGCCCCTGCAGCCCTGCACTCGACCTCTCCCTCGGCCCCACCATCTCCGCCGAATTACACCGCTCCGTCCCTCCACCTTGTCCAGACCCTCCTCCCGCCGTCGCTCACCGCGCGCGCACTCACCCAAACGCTTGCCTTGCCGCTCACCGCACTCGATCCGTTCCTCTCGCGGCTCCTCCCCTACCTCCTGTACACACACGCATTGTCGTCGGACAGGATAGCCGGAGTCGTGCGGAGCGCAAAGAGGGCTTTGTTCCCGGAAGGCTGGCCAGCGCCGCCCCCACCAGATCCAACTCTCGAAGAACAAGCCGTTATGAGGGCTGCCCTCGGGAGGAGGTTACTCGCCGCCATCCCAGGTCAGTCATGTTGACTTCGGTGCCTATGTCTCGTACAAGACACTGACAAGTTTCCAATGGGTTCTCTAGCGCCGCTGGCGATAGTGCTGGGCCCTACTTCAGAAGCACGGACGAGCGCGATCGACGGAATTCTGGACCCGCTTTCTTCTCAGGCCTGTAACGCGCATCTCATGCTCTTCATTCTCGACCTCGTTTTGGTGACAGTCTTCCCGGAGCTCGGCGCGTCCGAGGCCGTATCGCCTGGCGCCGCGGCTGAAGGTGCTATTAGTTTGGCGGCTAGGACGCCTTGAGCTCCGTGCCAGACCGTATTATGACGACTTTACGACTACTGGAACGACCCATTGCGCTCACATTACGTGTGGCTCAGCCGATCAGAGTGCAGCATGAACTAGAGCTTGATGGCATAAGTACTACGACTACGGGAAGGGTACAAAGGTAATGGCAGAAAGAATACTAAGCGCGATGATATACAGATTTATGTTGTTGCTTCTGCCGCCGTGTGCTACCTATCTCCTCAAGGTTCTCGCACGAAGCCTATCCCTCGATCAGAGTTTGAATGGGGTTCTTGGGAACTGCACCTTCGAAACGGCCGGATCGTCGACGAACCAGTAGACCTGGCCTGGGTGCGAAGGCCGCACTCTGGACGCAGGGAGGCCCTCCTCGGGCTTGTCGAAAACGGTCTGCAGGGTATCTGCCTTGGCCGCACCACTCGCGACGAAGGCGACGCGCGCAGCGTGGTTGATAACGGGGTAGGTGAAGGTGATGCGCCTCGGGGGTGGCTTAGGGCTGTCCTCGATGTACGCGACCCAGCGATCCTCCTCCGTGAGGAGCGGGTGGCCGGGGAAGAGCGACGCGGTGTGGCCGTCCGGGCCGGTGCCCAGGAGGATGAGGTCGAAGATGGGGAAGCGGGCGGAGTCTTTCTGCGCGAATTCGCGGATGAGCTCCTTTTCGTAGGCGTCCGAGAGCTCCTCGAGGTCGTCGGCGAGCGAGGGGTCGATCGTGTGTATGTGATCTTTAGGGATGGGCACTTTCGAGAAGAGCTCGTCTGTGCAGAGTTTGTGGTTGGAGTCGGGGTGGTCGAGGGGGACGACACGCTCGTCGGCGTAGAAGACTTGCCTAGGAGAGCGCGATGGAATCAGATAGCGGGCTGGAATGAGGAGAAGGCAACGCACCACTTGTCCCACCTCACGCCGGGCTTGTTGATCAGAGCGTTGAGCTGTTGAGGCAGCGAGCCACCGGATAAAGCGACCGAAAACCTGCCCTTCTTGTCGATGGCTTCTTTCTGGGCCTTTAGTATGAAGTCCGCGACCGCATCGCAGAGCTCGGTGGGGGACGCGAACGAATAGAGAATGGGTGGTGAGGGTGCGGTGACTGGCATGGTAGAGATGCGGTGGTGAGGGCGAGTGGGAAGAGAGAGACGCGCCGGGGACGAGCAAGGGCTTGGGAGTGACGAAATGGAGGGAGACACTTTGTAAGAGCGCTTCTCCCGGCGATCGCATCTCACGCCTGACGTCGTTGCACGTGACATGCCGTTCCTGATCGCCGATTCATCGAGAGCTTCCCGCACACACTCGCACACATCGCTCTCAACAGTGAGTAATCCGTTTCGCATACGGAAATAGCAACTCTAGTCGTACAATGCCAGCTCCCAGGAATCGGTCAGGTCGTACAACGTGTACGTGATATGTATACACCCGGTGCAGTACTATGCGAGCTTCATGAAGCAGGGTTGAGCCAGCTACCAACGCATGAGCTCATGTTGAATGAACGCGATGACTGAACCACGCAGCCCAAGGTCACTGATCACAGCCTTGTCACCGACCACACCAGGAACAACCGGTTCCCAGCGATCGCCTGCCTGATCCGATCGGGAATGTCCAGTGTGTCGACTCCCCAGCTGTCGAACAGCTCCTTGACATTGTGTAGAGACGCCTTGACCTCCACCGTACCCTTCTTGAACACCACGCCATCCCAAAGCTCCTTCCAGCTTTCATCCGAGTGGCAGAACATGTACTCGCCCGTTCGCATCGGAGCGCTCTCCGTCCTCAGGCCTTTCTCCGCCCGGCCGCTGTGCAGCCCGAAGATCATAGAGCCCGGGATAGGCGAGAGAAGGCCGGCGAGCTTGTGCGCCAGCTCAAGCTGCTTCTCCTCGCTGAACAGGTGAAAGAAGGATGACACATGAATGACGGAGACGTGTCCGTGGAGAGGCGTGAGGGTCGTCAAAGAGGACAGCGCAGGCGCGGAGGCTTCGGGCGGGGCATTGAGGGGCGGGGCCGTGCGGAAGAAGTCTGTGTCAAGGGCGTCGCCCCCGAGGAAATGTGCCGGGAACTCCTTCGGAGTCGTCCTGAAGAGTTTGTGACCGAGATCCCAATATTCTACAGTGATTGTGTTGTCAGTGCACAGCAACACCATCTGCTGAACCGTACCCACCTGTATGAAGGTCTGATCCTATGGCGTTTTCAGCAGGGAATCTGTCTGCTACGGCCTTCCTGACGTCGACGCCAACTACCCAGGAGTCAATCAGGCGTCAACTAAGTCTGCTATTTAAAACGATACCCACAGCAACAACCAAGGTCAAGCAGGATAGCACCCTTGCGCTCCTTGCCAATGGCAATTGCCTGTTGGTACACGGGCGAGCGATTGGCTATCAACCTGTGACACGAAGACAATTATGGGGGCTTGAACGAAACTTGCCCTCCAAACGACACTGTCTTAGCTGACAATACTATTGCTTACGTCATCGCGCGTGCCTACTGTCCTTCTGCCGGCATGGCTTTGCTTGATGCTATCCATCTCTCGGGGACGAAATATGATCAGAGCGTTCTGTCCTTCCCGCCCACCATCATCGGCATCGGAACGGTTACGTCTGCGTATGATGTGCTTGCAGACGGCCAATCAAAGTCATTCCCTGTTATCGCCCATGAGCGCGTGCGCGACGAAAGTAAAACGGCTAATATTCAGTAAGTATAATTACAACACTGTCTTCGCGCTTTCATTAAATCTCCCACTTACTAGGTGCATATACGACGCTTCGCCGCGATGGGCTACCGTTCCTGCTCCTGCCCCCAATTCTACCGTATCTTTCCACGGCCGATGCTCGCGCGTGCGTTCAGATGGCGTGTTGGGTGTCGACCTTGAGCTCATTTCTTTCAACTTCGGCCCCTCTCCTGTCGCTGTCGGAGGTGGAACTCTACCCGGAGGCAGTCGATCATCGACTGCTAACACTCCTTGAGCTCGCCCACATGGTTGATGCTATCGGTGACGGTGAAGGTCCAGAAGTCTCTCTGCACCTCCTGCAACATGTATCCGACGACCAGCAGCTGATTGACTTCGTCTTCCCGACACATGTACTCGCCAATCCCATCGCCTGTCTAATGTTCGATGCTTGCTCCCACCAATAGGCAGATCGACCGTTACAACAGCATTGTTCTCGACCACATTGGTGAGACAAGCAGGACATACCTTGCCGCCGACTCTCTGAAGGAGGCAGACGACGCCGGCATCGACTCCCCCGACAGCATATTTGACTACGTCGCCCGCCAGAATCCCGCAGGTTTTCCTCCCCACTCGTTGACCGTGAAGGTTAACGCCGTCTAACGCTTGCTGCGCAATTTCTCCCTCGACCGTGGCTTGGTCAAGAACGTTCGCGTTGTTGTCATTGCGGTTGGCCCCCGTCTCGTCACAGTCCGCATTCTACGGGGCATTGTAGGTGTCAGTGTCATTGATGAAGAAGACGTCCTCATACCTTGGATCACATTCTCTACCACCCTTTCCTCGGGCCATACACTCCTCCGTCGTCAGTTTCCTCTTGCGCGGCCGCCGGCATATGCAATGACATTCAACAGCTACTTACCAAGGGCTAACTCTTGACGCAGTGGGAGTAGACTAGTACGAGACACGTGTTTTCACATGGACAGCTGTACACGCGCATATGTCACAGTGACCACGCAAGAATTTTGCTCAAACACGACAAACCCACTACTATCAATGGCACCTATGTATGACGAACTTCTACTATATATGATGGTTTATGACTTTAATTACATTGATGTTCACTCAACCGCCGGAGCGTAGCGATGGCGTCCCTTGTAGTAAGTATCGAAGCCCTTGTGGTGGCAATGTGTTATCTGACCTTATCTGACTGAGGTGTCATATATCGAGGTTGGATTCGCAAGGACGCCGCTTCTCAGCTCGAGGCACGCCCATGAGCGTTTCTTCCTCGCAGGGCGCGTGCATATAACACGGCGTATCTCGTAACATGTCGACTGTCCTTCCCCCCATCGGCTGTGTTGTCCACAGCCATGATTGGTGAAGGCTCGTCTTCGTCCTCCCCTTCTGATACAGAGGCTTTGGAGGCCACAGCCTCTTATCTCGCACTGATCGCCAGTTTTGCCCTCCAGGACATCGACGATGTCTCTGCGACACGAAAAGGAAAGCGAAGCGCCCAAGCTCCCAAGAGCGACGAGGAGCTTGCATTCGAGCTGTTCGCCGAGGAGGCGCATTCCTTGCTGTCCCTCACTCAGGACATGACATTTGCTCAAAGCCTGGACGATGCCTTGCGAGCGGACCATGACATCCTTCAAGAAGTGCTACAGGAGGATGAAGTCGCCCGCTCCGACAGGGAGTATGCGTCGGCCTTACAGGAAGGAAGGACCCCTGCAACCACGTCCGCGTCAAGCTTCACTCAGGCTGCTGCCTCGTATAAGTGGGCTATGCTATGCATATCTTACGAAAGCGAAGCACTCATGGACTTCCCGTTAGACCATCATTGACCAATAATACGGCATCACTGACCGTTTCTCTCGGTAAAAATTCAGTAGATACACGCAGGCAAGCTATGCTATCTCTGTTTCCGGTGAAAAGCTCACGAACTTCCCGTAGTTCATCAATGACGACTCTGACACCTGCAACCGCTTCATCGAGCAGGACACAGTTTCAGTCAGTGTACAAAGCATACTCAGACAAGCGCAAGTCAGTAGATCAAAGTCATCCAATCCGACATTGCTGACCAGCATGCACAGGAAGGAGATGTGTGTGTTTTGCCGGGAGAACATCGGTGGTCATCAAATTCAGGCACCTTGTGGGCATTTCTGGGATGCGGACTGCCTCGCAGACCTCTTCCGCGCCTCGACCACAGACGAGTCGCTTTTCCCTCCACGGTGTTGCCAGCAGCCGTTCGTCCTCAAGGAGGTGGAGCGACATCTCATGCCCGAGCTGCTGGCGAGTTTCAACGCGATCTCCCTCGAGTTCCGCACTGCGGACAGGGTGTATTGCCACCGTCCAACATGTTCGGCATTCATCGGGCCCGCTACCGAGTCTTCGTCAGCCCAGGACTGCCCGAAGTGTCTCGCACAGACGTGCGGTCATTGCAAGGAGCGGGCTCATTCCGGAAGCCCCTGCATCACGGACGACGCACCCATCCTTGCGTTGGCAGAACAAAATGGATGGGCGCGTTGCCCCGGGTGCAAGCATATTGTGGAACTCGCAATGGGGTGCTACCACATGACTTGTCGGTGTGGGAAGCAGTTCTGCTACATCTGTGTAGAGACCTGGAAAAACTGTCTCTGCCCTCAGTGGGATGAGCCGAGATTGCTGATCACCGCACAGGACCGCGTGCAAAGAGAACTCCCGGCTGGTCCTCCTCCTGCTGCACCCCTATTGCAGGAGATGGTCCGACGGGCAGCAGACAGATTGCGTGTTGACCACGATTGCCAACATATGTGGAGATACCGTCCAGGCGGCGGGCGATGCGAACAGTGCTCTTACTATCTGCCTGTATTTCTCCTCGTACGTGTATCAATTCGTTACAACGGACTCCTGCTAATGATGATTGATGACAGAGTTGCACATATTGCCGTATGAACGTATGCGTCCGATGCAGACGAAATAGGCTGTAGACGTTGTTCCGAAGCACGGCGATCCATGGGAAGTCCTTCGCGAAGCGCCTTTTCTTGTTGTACGATATATCGAGATCGTGGAAACACTATAGACATCCATACCGTTCCTGCTGACATGGCTTGAAGTAGGCCTGTGTCCTACATACGTTCTACATAAGTAGTATCATAACAATATACACTCTCATGGAGGCAGTACGGCAACTGAGGGCTACTTTATGGCTCACTGGATGAATGAACTGCAATAGAAAGGTCCTCGTCATCACGAACGACGAAGCTGCCAAACTCGTACTCGTCGTCTTCGTCGTCGTACCGGGGAGAGCTAGGCACGACTCTTGACACGCCTCTTCCTCCATGCACGCCCCAACCACGCGCCGCAGGGCGACCCGCGAAGACCGGCCCAGCCCTGCTGCCTCCTGGAGCTTGTGTAAGGAGACTTCGCCTGTATACCGCGGACTGATCGTACGATGGGGAGGCTTGTGTCTCCGGGACATCGTGCACGAACGATGGCTCGTAACCGTCCTCGTTCTCCGCGTCAGACGATCCTACGCTCCGCTCATCACCCGAATGGGAAGCCTCTACGTCCATCCATGGATTAGCTTTCTGCGCTTCAGCCATGTCTTTGAACTTCCGCTTCTTCGTTTTGCGGGGCACTGGCGACGGTGGAGAAGGCGAGTCGTGTTGTCGATGCAGGCGTCGCTGCGACGGAGGAGGCATCACAAGAGGCGACGAATCGCTGACATCCACGACGACGCGTTTCTTGGTCTGTTTGCTAGGAGCGCGAACAGCGAAGGTGGGCTCAGGCATCGATTCAGCGTCATGCGATCGCGCTAGCCGAGTAGGTAAGGCAGGAGGGAGCATCAGCGCATTCCGACTGGAATTGAACCCATTGAGAGATCTAGCGGATGCCCGGCCATAGTCTTTGACCGCAGACAACGGAGAACCACGCTCATCCCTGAATACGTCCGGCTCATCGTCGGATAGGATCACGGGGGATGAGCTGCGATGGAGAACTGGAGACGACTTGACAACTTGTAGATCCGGGTCCTCGTCATCGTCAATTAACCAAGCCATGTCGCCATCCTTCTGAACGTCGTCTGGGGCAGAAGATCGGGATGAATGCGTGGTGGATAGAGAGAAGGGGCTAGCAGATCGGTGCGTCTGCTGCGTCCTGCTAGACGTGCTGGTACTCCTCGACTTGAGCGGTTGATCGGGAGATGATGTGGGGGAAGGACCGGGCGATGTAATGGCGGTTCCGTATCGTCGTTCATCGCTGCGTCCCTTTTCGAACAACGGACGGTCAGGCGATGAGGGCAGAGAAACCGCTGACGACATCGTACGACTCGGCTGATCAGGAGTTGTGAGGTCAATGATACTGCGTTCCGCAGATGTCATGGGCGACACGTCCCGATCCCAGAGTGATGCAGAATGGCTACTCGGGTGTGTCGCAAGAGTCGATGTCAGTACTGCGAGGGCAGGAGAAGCAAGTCCGCGCTCAATTTCGGCGTCATCAGAGTCGTCGGCGGCCATTCTTGCTATCTGGCTTTCTGTGAGTTCTGAACGAGCAACGGCCTTCTTTGTCTTCTTCTTCGGCCTCTCCGCGCTTTCCGTCGAGGCATCGGTCTTCGCTCGACGTGGCCTCTTTGTCTTCCCCCCTCGGGATATCGCAGAGGTCGAGGCCGCCCTGCGAGCACCGAAAATACCTGCTTCGATCTCCAGATCGTCATCGTCATCTTCTCCCGTGTATTTCTCTGGGTCAACATCGACATTACGCTTCCTCCTACCCTTGGCACCCTTCACGAGCAGATCCTTCACGTTCACGAAGCTACTGCTGGCCCCGGCAGGAATACTACGCAAAGGATCGTCATCCCGCTTGCGCTTCTTGCCCTTCGGAGAGCCATTTGCATCTGCGCGGGAGCCTTTCCTAGGGACCTTCTCCTCGCGTACATACTCCTCGATCTCCATGACCCTCTCCACACATTCGGGCTTGACGTGGTCAGGCAAAAGTCGTTCAACGTCGGCATAGAGCTCGAGCTCGTCGGCCTTGACAATGTAGTCTTGGACGTCCTTGTATTTCTCCTTCGCCTTTTCCCAATTTCTATCTTCACGGCCTTCGGCAAGTAAGACGTGCACGACGCCAGCGCGCTTACGGCCAGTCCGACCGGCGCGTTGCAACTGGAAAGGCTCGCGTCAGCATCTCCTTCTGCAATTGAGCCCTGCTACGCACCATGCGAATCGGGGTCTTCTGGGCATCATAACAAACAATCATGTCGACTTCGCCAATGTCGAGACCTTCTTCTCCGATAGACGTCGATACGAGGACGTTGAATTCCCCCCCTTTGAACCGCTTGATGACCTATATGTAGTCTTTGTATGAACATCATGAGGTAAGCCCAATCGTCGCGCCGGCTTACCTCTATTTGTTCCCGCTGCGCGAGGCCTGATCTACCCTGCTTGTCAGTCGCTTGACCAATGAAGCGTGTCGCCCGGATCAGAGGAGACTCCTTGTTGAGCATCTCCACAAGTTCGTCTACACATTCTCTGTAGGAGGCGAAAACCATAACGCGGGACTCTTCCGCGCCGCTTGCGCCTCGGTCGCCATCCTCGACGTCTTCCTGGTCGAACATGTGGTTCGCGAAATGTTGCACGAGCAGTGTACGTAGCTTCTCCATCTTGGGGTGTAAGGAGAAGCCGCGGTTCTTCTGGTCCTCGATCTCCTTAATGAGAGCCTGGAAGTTGGGGTCTTTCTGCAAGCCTTGTTGGGAGTTCTTGCTTGCTGGCTTCTTGCCCGTTTCATTGTCTACCCCGGACAGCAAACTGTTCAAGGCGCCGTAGCACATGTTCGTGCTAGCTTCGTACTACAACAATTTGTGAGCAAAGCATATGGAGTATTATAGATTCTCGGTGCATACCAGATAGCCCATCGCCCGCGCTAGCGGCTGCAATTTGCTGGCAGCAGCTAAGGTCCAGCCGGGGGCTTTTCGTGCACGAAGCTCGCCTAGAGCAGTCTGACTTCTGAAGGAGTGCAGCATGACTGGATCGGGGGAGCCATGCATCGCGCCGTTACTCTGAATCATCTTGATTAATGGCTAGAATGGCAATGTAAGTCTGCCATTTGAACCTGAGGTTGCACAGCCGCACCTGCATAATCTTGATGAGGAGATCGCGCAGCTTGAGGATATCCTCACTCATCGGGATGAGGTGCTTGGCAATTTCCTTCTTGTGGATGTAGTTACGAATGTCGATGCTCTCTTCGTCTCGAATCTCGATGTGGCTGATATGCAAGCAATTCACGATAGCCTGCGCGGCCTCGGGTTTGCTGCCTGGCGTGGCCGTCAGTGCAAGGACGCGGAAGTGCGGGTTCTTCGCCATCATGAACCGTATGACTTGAGCGTAGGCGTAGTCGCCCGAACCTTTATGAGCCTCGTCTACATACATACTCAGGTCAACTTCTCGTCAAACAAAGTCTGCTGCGTACAGACCGATTACAATCAGGATTATATCTGACGGGTTGCAAGTCTTGGAGATCAGATCGCTCAGCAGCGTTTGTGGCGTCATGTAGAACACTCGCTTTTCCGCATACTAACGCCTCTGTTGAGCTTGAGTTCATGGCTGAAGAAGGAGTTACATACAGCATATAGTCGCTTCGCTCGAGACGTCTCGCCCGTGAGCTCGGCAGCATGACTACCTGGTATGCCGCATACCCTGTGGCTAGCGTCTATTTGCTGAGCGACCAGGGGTTTCGTCGGCGCAAGAAAGACGACTTTGCCATCTGGGAACCAATGAAAGACTGTTCCTCCAAACGGTAACAGCTTCAGAATCGAGTATAGGGAAGGGGCGAAGATACGCACAGTTCAACATGACAACGCCAGCGATGAACGTCTTCCCTAGTCCGGTTGGCAATGCCACAAGCGTGTTCTCGAAGAAACAATGCTTTGCGATGTTGAACTGGTAGTCGCGCTTCGGATTATTAAGGGGGTATATCCAGTGTCTAGCGGCTAGAAGATCGGGCTTCAGCTTCATCGGAGGGGGCTACAGTGACTGGTGAATCCTTGGTAGTCGCACAGAAATTACGCTCTTACCGGGCTACATCCAGAGTACAAGATACATGAGCCTTCGACGAGTACGAGAGCTATGTACAGTACACTTACCCAACGGGCACAAAGGGTGCTGGGAATTGTTCGAATTCTACGGGCTCCTCCTCCTCCTCCATGTCGTCGAAAGATGCTTTCCCCTTGCCTTTCTTCCTAGCTTTCTCTTCTGCAGACTGTCGCCAACCCGACTTGGCGAAGGCGGTATGGTCCCATCGCCTGGTCTTCCTCTCGGCGAGAGTAGCCTGAGCGCTGTGAGTGCGTTGCATCGGGGCCCTCGTCGAAGATTTGGGTTTGGAAGATGTGACTTCCTGTACCACCCCGCCAAACAAGGTCGTCTGGACGGTGCCCTTGGAAGATGTCCGTTGCATGTCCGCTCTACTTGGCCCTGCCATTGGTTGCCCATGGTGCTGCCGTGCCCGACCTTCCTGGATGTCTTGAAGGACGGCTATGTCGTAGTCAAAGGCGTCAAACGGGTCTGAGTCCTCAATCTCAATCACAGAGTGTGTCGGAGATGGTGATCTCCGTGAGGACCTCGAGTGCGCTGCGGGTTTGGTTGGGTTCGGGACAGACGCATGAGCGGCCTCTATTGCATCGACCTCATTGAGAAAAGCTGAGTCGAGCTCGTCGTCAAAGTAGCCGTCATCAGAGCTCATGGTCATACCAAGGACGAAGAGGCAGACAGCTAGGAGAGACAGCGACGCGACGCTCGACGAGCGCGACCGAGACTCGAGCGTCGAGCGAGCGCGTTCAGGCTGTGGCACGCGCGTGTTTGTAGCAGTCACGTGTGACGCGCATCACCCCGGGTGGGCCACAGGCTTCGCAAGGCTCAAGCGGCACCCGCTGCTCAACACCCTTCTCCCAACTGCAGCGACGCACAGCCATGTCAGCAGAAACCATCGCACGCTGGAACGCTATTCCTCTCGCACGTCCTGGGTCCGAGTCTGATGCCTCACGAGCAATGAAGGTACTCCTTGCGCCTTTCTAGTACCATTGAACAC